AAAAAAATCTTTAAAAAATTAAAAATTAAAAAAATTTTTTAAAAAAAGGAGGGGCACAAAGCAATAGCAGAAGTGAATGCAACCAAGTGACTTTCCTCTTGCTGTTCAAAACAGACAGGTATTGTGTCCCATACTGGTTGATCCAGTCTTTGGTTTCATGGTTTTCTGCTCCTTAGGCCAGAATATTAGCCAGTCCTTTTCAGAAGTTGTAATTATTACACATTGTGCCTTCAGGGCATGAAGTACCGAAGAAGCTTCAAGTCTGGGGATTGTGGGTTTGGAAATGGTAAGCCACTGGATTCAGCTTAGAGGTTTATACCATCTACCAGCAACTGATCTATTCTTTTTAAAAATACAGAAATTAATCCAATGACTCCTTTTGTGTTCCTATCAGAGTTTTAAAACAGCAATAACAACTTGATTGTACTCTTCACTCAAAGGGAACTTTGCACTTGAAAGACATGAAACGTTTTGTAGAGCAGAACATTCTTTGAAAGCTCTGGGTGGAAGAAAGCACTTGCTTAAGGAACTTAATTGAGAGAAACAGTGCAGCCTGGACAGGGCTGCCTGAGTTCAAAGGCACCGCTTTTAATCCCAAACCTTTTTAATTTTACTTAACTTTTATTTCTTTCTGGGTGACTAAACTGCAAACTTCTATTAATCTACTGCCAAGTAATTTTTCTTAAGAAGGTGGATACTTTACAAGATTCATAGCCAGGAGCCCTCTGTCAGGAATGCTGGTGGTACAGTTTTGTGTAGGTAAAAACAGAGGCCCAGGAGAGGTCACTCTGTTTTGTATGTGGAACAGACTCTATCTCTGGCAAGTTTGCTGCGATTGAAAACATTAAGGCAGTCCTTTAAGTCTGGAGAATGTAGTGCCCCTGGCAATACAGGATCTTGGAAAGTGAAGCCTAGTGTTTTCATAGTTGAGATTTTGTGTTAATGTCAACTGTTGCAGGGAGAGTCATCCAACTCACACATATGTGTCCGGAAAGAAAGCTGAGCTTCAGGAGATGACATTTAACATTTGGGTGGGCGGGGGAGGGATGAATAAGAAGAATACAGGAAAGGCCTACTGCAGCCAAGAATTAAGTGGCTATTGGAAGAATCACATTAGCAAAACTGTTCTTCCTTTTGCTCTAGTATGATACCTGTAACATGGTTTTCAGACTTTCACACTATGTGATTCTTTTTTTTTTTTTTTTTTTTGTATGGCCCATTCTAGAGTTAAAGAACTTATAAAATGACCAGGTAAAATACCCTCAACAGAAGTAATTTCTTGAAAACAGCAAAGGATGAGATGGGCCAGCTTTTTTTGGCCGGTCTATCTTCATAAAATGAATCATACTATATTTGATTATTTTGAGATCAACAATGCAGCCACCTTTTTTCTTGACATTTATTTTCTAGGGAAAAAAACAGATTTATTGTGATGATTGTACTCTCATCTTTTTGTAACTTCTAGTCTTTCTACAGTCTTACAAATAACAACTTACCTGTATTGTTCTGGTCACTTTTTCTTTTCCATGGACCAAAGTATTAATATTAATTGGCTTTAATAAGTGTTCCAGGAAAATGAAGAAAAAAGACATAATCTGGTTTATTAAATGTTATATTGACATTGTTTAGCGCACAGTCCTGGAAGACTGGCACTATTGAATAAGAAACAGCAATTGAAAATCAACTGGCAAATCAACGAACTTAACATGGAATGATCATGAGCCAGTAAAGAAAATGTACCACCTCATACCCGTTAGGATGTCTACTATCAAAAGGTCAAAAAATAAGTGTTGGTAAGGATGTGGAAAAATTGGAACACTTGTGCATTGCAGATGAGAATGTAAAATGGTAATAGCCAGTATGGAAAACAGTATGGTAGATCCTCAAAAAATGAAAAATAGAATTACCATATGATAGAGTAATTTCTCTTCAGCATTTCTACCCAGAAGAATGGAAGATAGGGTCTCAACGAGATATTTGTACACCCATGTCCAAAGAAGCATTATTCAAATAGCCAAAAGGTGGAAGCAACCCAAGTGTCCATCTACAGACGAACGGATAAACCAAATGTGGTATATACGTAAAATGGAGTATTATTCAGCCTTAAAAAGGAAGGAAATTCTGACACATGCTGCAACACGGAAGAAGCTTAAAGACATTATACTAGGTGACATAAGCCGATCATAAAAGGACAAATACTGTATGATGCCACTTCTATGAGAGACCTAGAGAAGTCAAATTCCATAGAGACAGAAAGTAGAGTGGTGATTGCCACAAGCTGGGACACTGGAGAACTGTTGAATGGGTACAGAGTTTCAACTGAGAAAGATGAGAAAGTTCTGGACATGGATGGTGGTAGTAGTTGCACAACCCTGTGAATGTACTTAATGCCACTGAACCGTACACTTAGAAATATGGTTAAAATAGTACATTTTATGTCATGTATATTTTTTCACAAGGAAAAAAAGAAAATATTAGATCAGGAAGTTAGTTACCTTTTAAAAAAAACAAGTACAGAGTAGGGTAACAGGCACATGATGCCTCCTTCAGTGGACTTATATTCTCTGTCATTGTCACTTGCCTGCTGTAGGAGCCAATGAAGTTTTGTTTGAGTTTTGAATTACTTCAGGCCCACACCTTTCCCTTGCCCCTTGTCTGAGAAAGAATTCACTGCTCCTCTGTTCTTCCCCACCCCTCTGACCTTCATTGTAGGGGTCAACCAGAGATGTATAGAGCCATCTGGTTGAGAAACATCGATTACATGAATATCCTTATAAAATGCTCAGATTGAATCTGTGAACAAATTGTCTTTTATCATCTTGGTGCAAGGACTGTGGGAAGGGAAATTAAAGGTGCAGAGGAGAATGGTACCAGAGAACTCTAGAACTGTGAACTGTTTTGCCCCAGAGGCTCTGCCCCAAATGATAACAATGACCTATTCGATAAAGAAACAGGTGAATCCTTACCAGGGCACGGAGTTTTAATTTTAAGAGGAACCTCATAACGTTTTAGTTTGTTTTCATAAAGTCTTACCTTGTAAGAACTGTCCCTGGAAAAAAAAAAATGTAATTATGCAGGATTCACAAGAGGCTTGGGCTAGGTTGGGTTGGTTTTGTCTCCCCGATTTCTAAGCAAATGATGCAGACAAAGATAGAATTGAATTGTTTCCTCACTTCTCAGCAACCTGACTACCAGAATTCAAGCCACCCCAGACTTGAGGAGGAAGTTGAACATGGGACATTATACTGGCTTCGATAGCTGTACACATTGTTCTGCTTCTAAAATGTCACTAGATATGCTTTAATATGGTATTGAACAAAAACGAGAGGTCTGTGATTCTGTATATTAGAGCTACGGCAACTGGTATGTTTGCATCAGGGGCCTACCTCCCCAGACTGAAAGGATGAGGCCTCCTATGGTCACACTCACCAGGAAAAGTCGAAATGCTTTTGCATCGAGAAAGAGCCTTGAACTAACTCTCCTTTCTCTATTCCTCCAAGCTTCCGCAGGTTCACTAGATCCAACAGTGTGACGACAGCAGTACAGGCCGACCTGGACTTCCACGATAATCTGGAAAACTCTCTGGAGTCTATAGAGGACAATTCGTGCCCTGGCCCAGTGGCCAGACAGTTCTCCCGGGACGCCAGCACCTCCACGGTCAGCATTCAGGGCTCGGGAAACCACTACCACGCCTGCGCCGCCGACGACGACTTTGATGCGGATTTTGACCCTTCGATTCTGCCTCCCCCGGATCCCTGGATTGACTCGATCACTGAAGACCCCCTGGAGGCCGTCCAAAGGTCAGTGTGCCACCGGGACGGCCACTGGTTTCTGAAGCTTCTCCAAGCAGAGCGGGACCGCATGGAAGGGTGGTGCCAGCAGATGGAGAGAGAAGAGCGGGAAAACAACCTGCCGGAAGACAGTAAGTAATGGCCGCTGTGCACGCCTGCGCACCCGGCGCTTCCGGGCGGGGCTGACGCGGCGTCTGTGGACGTCGTGGTTCTTTCCCTGCCTGGTTCGCTTGTCTAGCTGCGGTTCCACACCCCCGCCGCGACGTGCGGGACAGCGGGGCGGTTCCGGCCGCGAGTCTAGCCGGCCCCCGCGCTGCCCAGTAGAAAGAAAACCGCTGTGCAGAGCCTTAGGTAGCTCTAGATCCTTTCTTCTCTGAAAAAGATCAAGCCCAACGTGGGGGTGGCCTCCAGTTTCTACACCTGTTCCTCTTTACCGAGAAATTTCTGAAGGGGCGCTGATTCTCAGGGAATTAAATGCCCAATGCATCGGTCCACGTATTAGAACAAGGCCAATAATGCGTAGGCCAGTAGAGACCATGCTTATTAACATTCATAAACCCGTTTAGCGTGCACTTTCTCTCATGGGATTCAGGGAGGCAAACCTTCAGCCACTAAATGAACTAACACAAATTTCAACTTAGCGGGGTTGAAATAAGTGATAAGATATGATGAATAAGTAAGATAAATAACGGAGGCCTTGCACACCATTATTTTCAAACTTTGCTTTTTAACACAATCATTCCTATTAACAATTGACAACAATAGGTAGCTGGCTGGCTGGTTGGCTGGCTCAGTTGGTAGAGGGTGGGAGTCTTGATCTCAGGGTCATGAGTTCAAGCCCCACGTAGGGCATAGAGCTTACTTAAAAAAAAAAAAAGTAAATAATTGACAACGAAATGACCAGGTTACCCAATTCTGAGGCATGTTTTCCACATTCTCAACAATTCTGAAATTGGGATATAGTTTATAATCAGTGTGTATTTTAATGCTGTGTGTTTGTTTTCCTCTGAAAAACTATTATTAAGTGAGTGGTGGATCTTCCAACTGATGATATTTTTGAATCAAAGAAATTTAGGCATTTAGGGGTAGGCATTTAAGCCTGTCTTCATTTTTGCATGGGAACCACCTACAAGGGTATTGTCATGATGTGACTTTGGGGGCCTATTTTTAAAATCATTTAACTTTTTCTCGTAAAAAATTTAAAACATGCACAAAAGTATAGAGTTTAGTACAATGAACCCCCATGTACCCATCGCCCAACACAATGGGCCAGTCTCCTTTTCTTATCTTCCCCCACTTGTCGTTTTTGCCAGATTATCTTAAAGTCCAAGGCATGCATCATGGCACTTTACTATGTATCCACTGATAAGGATTTTTTTTTACATAATCATCATATATTATCATCCCTAATAAAAATATCAATAATTTCTTAGTAATTACACCCTGAGCCTACGTTAAATCATGTTAAATAGACTTACTAAATGAAACAAACTAATTATGTCAAGGGCCAGTGAGTTTTCCATAAAGGAAGTATTTTTTATGAAAACTGAGTCTGGAAAATAACAATTAGCAGGTTGTGGGATTTCCTTGCTGTGTCTTGCTCTCAGCTCTTCTGTGCATTCATTCCTCCTGCCTGAACCCTATCCACTGGCTAACTAGCTTATGTGTTGTCTTTATGAACAGGTCAGAAAATCCATAAGTAGGTTTCTGTAATGTTCCTCTTGTCCTTTCATGTTATAAATGCAAACAACTTAGCAGTGGAAAAGTAAATCTCCTTGACACTTGCCCCTAACAGTTGGTGCCTCTGCAAGTTCACCTGAGTGTTGATCCACAAGCAGAATTAGCTTTTTGCCCTGGTGACAGGTGAAGGAGGCACCATCCAGCAGCAATGGATGGCGTAATTTTCAGTAAGAAGTCTTAGCAGTTGCATCTTCTTATTCTCCTTTCCCCTTGTGGGTATACCCAAAGCTTATTAGATTTTCCTAGGAAAAATGCTAGTGTCTAAGGAGCAACAGCCTCTGGTGCACTGCTCAACAGAACAAGCTAATTTTCAGATTTCAATGCCTTCAACTCATTAATTCGGGACTCATTCTAGTTTCCTGGTTGACTTCCAATAGGATCCAGGAAAGCTGCTCATCTGTTTTCTTTTAATCTGTTTTTTTTTCCCCATCTAAGACTGTATCTACTTCTCTCAACCCAGCTTTATAATGATGCATGAGGATAGTCATTGTATAAAAATTTAGGAAAATCTTATGTGATGCTAAAGGAGCTATGAAAACAAGTTAATGTGTTTTGACACAAACACATGTATTTGAAAGGTGAAAATTTTGTCAGAAAACCAGGTTCTCATCTTGTGTTTGGGATGGAAGAGAAGCATTTTTGTATTTAGCAATGTACAGTATTGGAAAAGTCTCGAGGTAATGAACATGAAGTAGCAACGCATTCATTCACTGTTATAGAATTTTACTTCACATGTTACTTAAAATATTGATTTATGAAGATGACTTAACAAATCTATCCCATATGAAGGTATTTTGCCATAACAAGATTTGTTCTAAAGAATAATAATTGCTGCCTTTGTACATGAAGTTTCCACCATTAATAACCTATACACCTGAAGGACATTTTCTTCAGAGTAGTGATACATTTTCTCAGATCTACCACTTTATTTTACCAGGTTGTTGCCTGCAGGGGGAGGTGCAGTGATCATGGTTGCAGAACAGGCAGAGATAACTAGGGGTGGGAGTATTTTTTAGTACTTTGCTTTAAAAGTACTGAACTGAATAAATCAGTCTTAGATGGCAAGTATGCAATGAAACCTGCTTCACTGGGGCATTGGTCTTCCTTTGTAGTTTGAAACATATTTTAATATCAGAACCCTCTTTTCTAATTAAAAATAATTACACACAACACCAATAAATGTAACAGAAAGAACGGTGAAGCTGTCTTGGTGATGGTCTGAGTTCTGTCTGCTCAGCCTCTACTGCTCCTTGGACCAAAGTCCCTAACAACCCCCCAATCCCCTCCCCCGGCCTCAAAAAGATCCTAGGGTTTCTAGAATACAGTTTTAAAGCCAATGGTCTGTGGTGAAAAGTCCAAATTATTAATTTTTTCAAATATAATTTTATAGCTGTAGATCAAACAGCTAACACAAAGTTTAGGTGTAAATGCCCTTTATGTATGCTTTTTTAAATGTACAAAACTGATTCAAATTAGTAACATCTATTCATATAAGCCATCTAGCCTAGAAAATATGACTCTTCCTTCAAGTCTCAGCTTGGGCCTCACCTTCTGGAAGTTTGCGGAATGCCTCCCCTCAGGCTGAATTGGGTGTGTCTCCCTGGTGATTTCATAATAGCCTGTTCAGTTGTCTATCAGCTATTTCTACCACGATTTTATAGTAGTCTATGTATCTCTCTCCTCCACCGAAAAATGAGCTCTCTGTGGACAGAAATTATTCTTATCTCATTCATCTTTATATCCACCACCCCTCTGATGGTTCCTGGTACATAGTAGGGGATCAGTGAATATATATTTGAGTCCTGGAAATATTTTGGAAATTCTATTTTACAAAAGTATTTTATCTTGCAAAATCTTTCCTCCTCAAAGAGTAACAGAATACTCAATGAGTAACTAGCAGTTGTTTTTGCCAAAAGTAGGAAGGGAGCTTCCCTGGTGAGGTGATGAGCTCTTCTGATAGAAGCAAGGATCTGACAGAGAGAGATGAGCACCTGCCACAGAAATGGTAGAAAGGACTTCTGTGTTGGTCAGCCAAATAATCCAGATGAACCCTCTATGTCCCATCCAGCTCTTTGGACACGATTCCATTTGACAAGCACTTGAAAGCTTTATCCTTCATCCCCAAGAGCTTCAATCTACCAGCATTCCAGAATTCTAAATAGCACAGAGATAACTTCCCAGGCCAAACTTCCCAGGGCAAAGAGTTGCCAATTTCAAATGAGGCAAACTCGAATCAGTGAGTGTCTGACCAGAGAGCTGTAGCCACCCTCCATGGGAAGAAGGGACACTAGAAGCACATGAGAGAATATTCATCTTGTCCTTACAATACCCCTGGCAGTGGGCTGGAGACTTTGACAGGTGTTTTATTTACCCTCAAAACAGCTCTCTGGCAGTATCTTGTCCAAGGTCACAGAACACAGAAGTGTCTGATGGAACAGATACAACATGAATAACAGTTGACAAGATAATAATACTCTGTGTGTCACTTGGTGCTGTCTTCTAAAGCTCTCCATACATATCTGTCCCTGGCTCCTTGGCAACCACAATTCTGTTCTGATAACTGGGCCTGGAGCTGTAGAGGACCTTTGTTTTACTCATTCTCTAATTTAGCCTTTTCTTTTTTATATTAAAAAAAAAAAGGAGGAAGAGAGGCCAATCCTGTCTGGTAGTCACAGCCAATGTCGGAGTAACCAGCTTAAAAAAAAGAAAATTTGTGTACACCCAGAAAAATAGCTTTGACAAATGAGTCGAGCCCGGATACATCTATCTCTTGCCCAAGCCACCTTATGTGTTTTTGGGTCCCATTCAAGGAGGTACATTCAAGGTATATGATGTAGGTGACACCTTGATAGATCCCTCCCAGGAGACATAGTCTTCAAAATCATCATGGAAGGAGAAGTAGTTTAGAGTAAGAGAAAGGAAGATTTTTTTTTTTAAGATTTTATTTATTTATTTAAGAGAGAGCAAGCAAGAGAGAGCACAAGCAGGGTGGAGGGTGAGAAGGAGAGGGAGAAACAGACTCCCCACTGAGCAGGGAGCCCGATGCAGGACTCGATCCCAGGACCCTGGGATCATGACCTGAGCTGAAGGCAGATGTTTAACTGACTGAGCCACCCAGGCACCCTGAGAAAGGAAGAGTCTGATCATATTTGCTTAATTTATTTTGGGGGGGCACCAGAATTATCCCAGTTCTTTTTTTTTTTTTTTAAGATTTTATTTATTTATTTGACAGAGAGAGAGAGACAGCGAGAGGGGGAACACAAGCAGGGGGAGTGGGAGAGGGAGAAGCAGGCTTCCCACAGAGCAGGGGCCGATGTGGGGCTCGATCCCAGGACCCTGGGATCATGACCTGAGCCGAAGGCAGACGTTTAACGACTGAGCCACCCAGGCG